TTGGGAGCAGCCACGGAAGATGTGCTGCTCATGCAGTGAAGCTGCACAGACTTGTTATAGTATCTTCTGACACAATCAAGTCTAAGCTGCAAGTTTGAAGCGTACTTGTTGGCTGCTGCTACTTGCTGCAATTATTTCATCTGCTGTGATGAAGGCTATTAAGCTCACCCCGCCTTCTATACTTGTTGGATGCTCCTCTCTTCATGGTAAGTTCTTATTTTAGTGTTTCAAATACAACAAAAATGTCATGCAACTATGTGCTGGCTTTATTCTTGACTGCATGCTGTCTCGAGTTTCTTAAGTTTGAGTTTTTGTGTTTTGCAGTGATTTTACACTCAAAGATCAACATTAACCTTGATAACTCGCTCTTACTATCATTTGTAATGAAGTCCTATGATCCCTTGCTGAACCAGACCCTGTTTCAGTCAGATCAAATGAAAACATCCGGGATGGAATTCCCTTTTGCTCTCTGCCTCGGATGGCCAAAACCTGAGATCTTCCTTGTCTGTCTGGTGTTGTTAAACTGTCCAACCGATTCAGCAATCTGTAGATATGTTAAATGAGGTGCTATTTTACTTATTTTGGAACTCAATTTGCCATATCTTCCGTACTGCTTGTAGTTCAAAGTAGCCAGTATTTTGTAGCAGAAAGATGTGGATTAGCTGAACCCTGATAGGTGCTTGCATCCTTCTTGAAGTTGTATCTTAGCTCTGTAACAGGCAACATATTTTTTCTCAAGTGTTCTGCAATTGACTACAGGTTGTGCCAATGATACTTTTCCATTGCACGTTGTATCTGTAAAGCTCACAAGAATCAGTCAGCTTGAGCCCTTCTACTTTATGTTAATCAGAGAGCAATTTAGAAAACTGAATTGCTAAGGCACAATTTTGTATTCAAAAAAGTATCCCAGTTGGTGGATGGGAACGTTGGAAAGATAAAATTATGGATATCAACTTTACAAGAATTAAATGGGAACATATAAGGTCAACCTTAGTTCATCAAACTGACATTTTAGATGGTGTCTGGTTGCAAAATCCCTTTCATGCGAGCTAGTCCTTGTGCATCAATGTTGTACCCCGAAGCAGCAATGTGACATCGATCTTACACATCTCGGCTTCAAATCTTTTTCCTTGATAGCTCAGCGATATGTTACAAGAAAAGCATTTCTACATTTCCATGCCTATGAGACTTCCAAGGCCAATATAAGTAAACCCTCTTATATCTATAACAGTCTAAAAAGTAGCAATAATAATAGCAATAACTAATTAGTGATTTTATAAATATTTGTCTGGATTAAAGTTTTTACGTTTTCTATGATCACATTTTCCGAGCATATCTTTTTATCTCACTAGTAATGGAGCACATGCTTTGCATGTGAACATGATACTTTTAGATATTTCTCCTTTCAAATTTTTAGAAAATCAATTATTTGGGATAATTTCAGAAACCTCCCTTGAGGTTTCTAACAATTTCTCTCGAATCCCCTCAAGTTTAAGAAATTACACTTACCTCCCTTGACATGGTAAAATACCTATAATGCCCTCCACTTGATAGACAATTTTAAATTTAAGGCAATACATTTACAAAACCCAAAAGAATTAATCTATTTTTCCATCTCTTGTCTAATATTTTCGCTCCTCTCTTTTCTAGTTAACATAACCTATTTTTATTATCTTCAAATTTGTTAATATTAGAAATTAAAATTACCAAATCACAGAGGAAGCAGATTATGTGTCAAATTAGAAAGAAATGAGGAGACTCGCAATGATAGAGAAATAAATAATGAAATTGATGATTGAAATAGGAAGAAAAGCTAAATATGTGAAATTTATCATATTTTACTTGTTGTCAAAAAACTTTGATAAAATGTCAATAATTACATAAGGATCTCTTTCATTGAATTAGAATTTGTTATTATGATTTTATTGTGGAGGTAGAATTTATCTCTATTTTAAGATATTAATATTTTTAAGGCCATAGGAGGGTTGCAATAGTGGTTCTAGATCAAATTAGCTTGTACTGAAAAGGTATTTGAGAATTGATATTTAATTTTGAGTGTATAAAATTGGTTATCAACGGGGCTCGTCTTTTTTTCTCTCTCTTTTTTTTTTTGCGTGACAAGTAATGATATTGTATATGCAATTTGGAATCTTTTGAACAATTACTTGATTTTAGAACTTATGTTTGGATGGTTGTTAGGAATTAAATTTGTTGATTTGTGCAAAGTGTGGAAGAAAATGATTGAGTACACTATATTTTTCTGTATTAATTTTGTACAAAAGGGCAATTTAGAATTTTTAAGAGAAAATTTCATTTGTTAGACCTACATTGTTACTAAATAGTAAAAATATGGGAGGTATATGTAATTTTTAAAACTTAAGGAGAGCTCTCTGTAATTGTTAAAAGCCTCAGGGGAGATTTGTAAATTTATCCCCAATTATTTTGAAGGAATAAATGTAATTGAGAAAAAAAATGTGATATTTAATATTTATGTTATTTTATACTTTTTCTGAACTTAGTTTGCCCTAACCAATACAAATGCACAAACAATAAATCATTCTTTGTTCCAAGAGTACTTTTATTTTGTAACAGTATCAATATTTTTGTGTTTTGGTTAAATTTAGATGACCTAAATGTTCATTTTTATGCCATTTGAGTTTAAACTTTTAATTTTTGAATAATTTGTTGCTCCCTTTTATGTCATTCTATGAATTGTTTATTAGTTTTAGTGAGATTTTCTTCTTATTATTATTATTAGTATTATTATCATTATTTTGCTAACAGTGGATTGTAAAATGATCTATAATGTTATTGTAATTATAATAATATCTGAATATATTGAAATTCCATTGTTCAAATTTAAATAGCTTAACTATGAAGAGAAATGTTTTGATTTGGTGAAACTTATTTGTATTTCTCACTGATGGCATGCTTTATGATTATAGAGTTAATATCATTAAAAATTGTAAGGTGTTAAAATTATTTATTATACAATATTCAAACTAACTTGGATCTATTTTTTTATTACCATAATTCAAAGGATGTTTCACCTTTGTAATTATTATTATGATTGGCATTGATGAATATAATATTCATTAATTGTAGTTTATTACTATTATTTGATACAAGAATATGATTGATAAAATTCATTAAATATAATCTATATATTGCAATTTAAATTACCTTAGTATTCCGTTTCTTATTATATTTTGTATTAATTCTTTTTACTCAATACTAATATACGCATATTAAAAAGGTGCTCTTAAGACTTAATTTATTTGTATTCAAGAAATAAAAAGATTCGTGGTACTTTTTAAGAGATTCATAATACCAATTTATTATGTTTTGTTTCATGTTTGAAGTACTCTTTAAACTTGGATTTTGTAAATAAAATTTGTTCTTCTTTCTTTTGGTAAATAAAAAAGTATGGAATCTTTCATTTTTGTAACCACCGGCATGTTTGATATGATATTATTAATGATGAAATGCAACAATTTGTCCATTTATTAAAGAGGAGTGTAATTTTGATATCATAGAAACTAATATCATTTTTTGCTTACACTATTAACAACTAAGATTGACCATATTTTTTATAATTTATAAATAAAATTTGTTCTTCTTTTTTCGATTTAATTCATTATAACTCAAGGGAATGTTTTTCGTTCTTGTAATTGTTGGCATATAATTGACATTAATTATTGATGAAATGCAATGAATTAGTTTTTTTTTTTTTTTTTTTGGTTTAATTCACTAGAATCACCACAATTCAAAGAATGTTTCTTTGTATACATATATTTTTTGCTGGATAAGATAGATTCTATCATCACCAATCTAGAGGGTGCGTACGCACCGGCTAGCAGATTTTTCCAGGAAATTCTGGATTTAGAGTGCAGGAATAGTTGAATCTTAAAGTTTTTTTGGTGGCCAACTATTCTAGGAATAGTTGATTAAGGAAGTTTTCTTTGTAACTATTAGCATAATTCTTACTAATTATTATCAAGGAAATGCAATATAATCTGTCCATTTATTAGTATCAAGGCCCATATTGATATAACAAAAACTGAGATAAATTTTTATTTACACTCACTCACACTAAAGACACATAATGCGTTTTATACAGTGATAGATAATAGATATACATCAATCCAAACAAAGGAAACTACGCACAAAAGAAAAATAATGGCAGCTGGGGAGGCCTAGTTTCCTCTAATAGAATAAACAGCAATCCAAACAAAGATTCGAATCTACTTTCCGTACAAAAATTTCAGATGAACTTATTTCTGCACAAAAAAATAAGGGGCCTTTTTTTTTCAGGTGAATTTACAAAATAAATAAATAAATAGAGGAAACGATACCGTTTGAAGATTTATATATGCGATTTGGACCTCCTCTTCTTCCATTTGAATTTCTTCGAAACTCTATTCCTTTTTCTCCCCCACAGCAGCCGCTACTATTTGCCGGCAATAGCCATCCACCTGCCGGAGTTGTCCCCGCCGTTTAATGCTGGTCTCGGAAGCCCCTCTTCTCCCTCTGATTCTAAGCAATTCCTTTTTCCCTTCTTTTTTTTTTGTTCTTTTTAAATTTCCGAGCAATGTAACTGGTTTCTGCAATTTCTACTTAGATCTTAACTGCGTTTCGAAGAATTTTTCTAGCCTATCTCGTGGTGGTATCATTTGATGGTTAGAGTTGTAGATTATTCGCTCTTTTCACTTGACACTGGCAAACTTATATTAGGTCAAGAAACTGCAGTAAATATAATGCGCAAGTTCCAGAATTCGCCAACGTTAGACTAGTGCATGGACGTTTATGAAGTTCAAGTTTTGATCACTGATTCGTTATGAAGTTTCTTTCTTTTTTTTGCTGAAATGTTGTTTTGTGTTTTCTACTTATTATATGCACTTTTTTTTTCTCTGGAAAGTTATGGAAAGAAATTAGACAGAAATATGGAAAAGGTCAGACATATTTGAACTGAAAAGGTTCCAAATACCAATTTAAATGAAAGAAGACCATCATCGATAGTCATTAACGTTATTTTAAATGTATAGATCTTGAAATTCCAAAGATTGTAGATTCGACCTCTCTGTTTTAATTTGGCCAGATTTCTTTTGTCTCTGTTCGGACTAATTAGGACACAGAAAATGTGCTGTTATCCCTATAATCCAAAGAAACGGATTAAATCAGTTAACTTTCTTTTCTTTTTTCTATGGTAACACTTCCCCAGGAATTTCTTAGAAATTAGCCTTGTAATTGGGAGTTTATGTGTAAAGGCTTGTATTGGAAGTTTCATGCCTATTGCCTGTTACTCTGTGACATTGTAGCTGGCTCTGAATTAGCACATAATGAAAATTTTGTTCCAGACTGATCATACTTGTGCTGTTGCATTTACTGCCCTCATTTGGAAATGTAGCCTCCATTTCATTGCTATTGCATAAGTATGATGATTGCTGCCTTTTCTCACACCTTGTGTCCTTTCCTCAGATACTTGGCTATTCGTGTTGAATGTTGTTATATTGAACTAAACGTATATTCATGCCTCCCTGTACAAGGTCTTCCTTGAAGGGTACGTAGCTGATTTTGATTAGTTGTGCCTGTTAAATCGATTTATAGGTTCTTATCATGCCTTTTTTATTCTTGCAGCAGCCAGACATAAAGCTGGCGTTCTCTGTGATAGTGTGCAGTCCATTTCGGGCGAAAATGACTTGAAACTCTGCATTACAAATTACTTCAAGGTATAATCTATTGGCTTCTGTATGGGTTAATTGGTTCATGCTAACACCCAATGGCCTTGTCTTGCAATTTATTAGTGTTGTGTCCTCCTTTTTTTTTTTTTTAACTCAAACCCTTTAAAGATGAGTTGACTAAAGTAAGTCTGCTTCATTAGAACAAGAGGCTCAATGTTTGTTTGCAATTTCATGTGCTGACCAAGGTGTTCCATGATCAGGGAACATCAGGGAAGTATAGTCAGAAATCTGGCCAGGCACCTCTTTATACTGATGATGAGTGTGAGCAGGAAAATAAGATGGCAAAACTTCAAAAAGGAAAGAGAGCAATCCTGTTAGATTCAACTGATGATCATGTTGAGGTTGTGGCTCCAAAGAGGGGAAAAGCTATGAATAAGGGGAAGCTGAAAAGGCCTAAACGTACAAGGAAGTTTGGCAATTCAAGCCCTGGGGAAGTAAATACTCAGTCATTTGAAATTGACAGTATTAGCTCCCACTTCAGTGAGAGGAAAGAGTCCAGCATGTCTCCATCAATTGGTATTCCTTCCCCTCCTGCCCCTACCGACGACATGTATCATTTTTGGACAGCTTTGCAAGCGCTCGGAGCATATCTAGCGGCAGCAGAAGGGGATTTGTTAGAGGATGAAACGGAAGATGTCTTTGTGCTATGTTATTGTGCCATGTTATTGTACTATGTTTGGATATTAGATGTCAAGCGCTGTGGCCCTGGTCCAAGGTAGACATTTTGTCTGCAGTCACCATGTCATTGCACTATGTTATTGCTTATGTTTGGATATCAGATATCATGATGCATGGTTGGATATTGGATTTTCTAAAGCTGTTTACGCGCCAATGTCAGCTGAAGTAGTACTCGTGGTCATGAACTTACGTGTTTGCAGTATTGATAGACGTCTTTGTTGGTAGCTTTTAGTTCGTGGCTGAGTTCCTTGGTTTTGGATAAGTGATGGCACATATAGATGATACGAAATGGTGGCAAATCTTTATGATGGCTGTTTCATGCTTTCATCATTTGCTCCTTTTTTTTAATTCCAGCAGGAGAGGGGTGGGGATTTAAGAATGGGGAGACAGCAGGGGGATTGGAACAAAGAACCTCTAATTCCTGATATCTCAGTCTTAGTCACTAGACTAAGTTTCATCATTCTCCTCTTACTTCTAATTAATGCATCGGAAATTGTTATTCAACTTTTGGTTTGCCCTGGCAGATATGGATGCCATCATTCAAGGGCATGGTGTCACCATGAATCCAGACATCATGACCTTAAACCCTGAGTTCTAAACTCTATACCTTAAATCCTAAAACCTAAATGGACTGGTGTTCTTTTACACTTGCAGACTGTCATGCCATGGTCACAAGGTACATGGGGTTGCTTGCTATTAGGGGTACTGGACTGTAGAAGATGCATACAGGGCATGACGTGAGTATTCAATTAGGCATGGGAAAACTACAGTGGAGACATTCAGCTTCTCACAAGGGCAAGTAATCGTCTTTGCCAAAGCCAAAAAATGGTACTAAAATTTGGACAGAGGTGGACTTACGGGTAGCTGAAACATAGGATAAAACGCGAGGCACTTAAGAGGGAGTAGGTTTTGTAACTGAATAAAAATAAACAAGAACAATGTGCAAAGCTTCATTTCGTATTTTTATTTTGTCTTGTACGAATATTTGGAGCCACTATGTTTGGATAGAAGATTAATCGAAAAAAAAATTGTTTAGAATAATACAGTAGCAGTCTTATAATGTGATAGGTTAAAGATGAGAAAGTGATTAATGAGTTCAATATTAGAAAGTGATTATATTTTTCATAATACTAGTAATAGGTCACGTGCTTTGCACGTGATTATAATATTATAAAATATATGTTTCTTATGCATTAAAATTTATTTGTGAAAATTATTTTAACAAATTTAATATTTGCATAGTTTATTTTTTATTTAATTTTTTATCTTCTTTAATTAATTATCCTTAAAACCATTATTTTAAAAACAAAAAAAGTTAACAACATGTTATATCTACAGATTCATATAAAATCTCTAGAGAATTTTTAACAAATGAAGATACATTCAGTCTCTTTCAATTTAAAATAATGGCTTTAAAGACTGAAAGAAGATGAAAAATTAACATTTAAAAAATAAAGATTTGACCAAATATGAAATGATTTGACAAAAGTATCAATATTTTGAATGGTATGTATAATATTGATACTTCTAATTACTTCATTTGTTTTCTCCATGACAAACAAATTATGATAATACCACTAAAATTGTATGATCTTTAATTAGATATATGAATAATTTTTTTATTTTTCTTTTAAAGTTGGATGACCTGAATTTGCACGCTAAACAAAAGTTAATTGTTTGTCAATCACTAGGGTTGGCTTAGTGGTTAAGGTAGGGGTCTTAGAATTCTTTCTAGTTCAGAATTCGAATGCCGTGCGTGATAGTTGGGGATGAAAAGGGTGTGAGGAGAGATAGGAGGGTAAAAAATAAAATAAAATAAAATAAAAATGATTGTTTGCATAAATATTAGTTGCATGCTTTACCGGTATTAGTTTTCATGTTACGTTGAGTTAAATTTGCAATTCTTCAATATGAAGTTATATACACCCTTTTTTAAAAAGAGAAGAGATGAATATTCTTTGAAATTGAACTCTTTGTATCATTTTGTATGTTAATTCTATTAACAGTGGAGTGTAAATGATCATTCACCACAATAGTAATATTTTTGAAGACTTAAAAATTTATTTAAGCTATGACTAATTAATAATTTTTAATTGAATAAAAACTGAAAATAGAATGCACAAAGACACATTGGTTTGGAGTGTTATAGTTTGTTTATTGTCTTCATACTTCAAATTTAATTAAGGTTACAATAATTTCCTAGCTACTATTATTGCTATTATTAAAATGCAATAAATCTAATTATTAGGATTATTAGGGAGAATGGTATTTTGGATAAAATTAAAAACTAAGATCAAATCTTGCTCAGTCTCTAATGCTTATCATCAACTATTATTTTCGTTTAAATTAATATATATGATATAATGAATTTTTAATCATCATAATAAATTAAGAAGAGCATAATGTGAAACTCCAATCATTAATTAACAAGTACATAATTGGAATAACAAAACTAAGATCATAAGAATACTTACACTCACACTCTAGAGTACCAAGATTCATGGTACTTTTTATATAGTAATGATGATAGGTTTAAGATAAGAAAATGATTAGAGCGGTGGAAGGACAGATTGAGTGATATAGGGGGAGGGATTGTAAAAAAGTGATTAGAGGCGATACGACGTAACTAAAAATCACTACATTTCCAAGCAAATAACTATTATAGTCATTAAAAATAACACCCTAATGATTCTTATATAGATTATGTTTTTAGAGAACTAGACTATGCAAAACCTCCATTCTTATGATTGGATTTTTTCTTGGTTTATTTTCACCAAAGTTTTTGTAAATATTCTACTTCCAAAAATGTTTGTGTGAGATAAAAAATTAATTAAAATAGTTGGAAAACATATTGGGTGTTTGGCAACTTTCTATCATAGAAATGAGAAATCAACTCATCCAACCAAATTCCTTCTTTAGAAAGACATGTACTTTGAAGTAAGGGTGTATACTAGTTGAATCAACCTCGAGTAGTGCTATAGTCGAGCTCGACTTGAACACTATTGACACATACTCAACTCGAGCTCAAGCTTTGTTGAGTTCAAAAATTGAAGATCGAACTCAACTCATTGAAATGGAATAAAAAATTCAAACTCGACCTGATATGGCTCGAGTAAAAAGCGAGCCATATCAAGCTCGAGTACTCGATTCTGACATCAAGCATAGAAGCTCGATCAGACCACATTTTTGAACATTTAAGCTCGAAACCTAGAGAATAAAATTGAATATATTTACTTCAAATTCTATTACCTTTTTGCCATTAAAGAATTTTATTAAATATGCAAATCATCTTGTAAATTATTTGAAAGCATAAATCCTTAGTGGTAATTGTATATTTAAAAATATATATAATTTAAATTAAAAGCTACTCCACAAGTAACTTGTCAAACTCGAGTATCATATATTCGGACTCGATACTCGACTTGCATCCCTGCTCGAGTTTGGATTCGAACTCGATCTTAAACTTGATCAAATTGAATTCAAATCGACTGGTTGAGCTGCTCACAATCAGCCCTACTTTGAAGTTTCAATTTGATGTCACCAAATTGCCTAACTAAGCCAAATGACCAGCCACTGTATGCCACATGAATTTGCCCTGGTCAACTGTCTCATCAAGACTGCTAGATCTCCATCCGACTAAAATCACTTTATTTCTTCAAACTTGAGTGAAAACTTCAGCTATTACATTTTTAGCTGAACAAGGCGGTTGGCCAAAGGATTTTCTGAGGTGCAGAAAAGAATTCTTCTTCATTCTTAGAGTTTAGCATCAACCGATTAGTTTAGCTGTTCAAGATTTGAACGTTGTTGCTCCATAGCTGCTTAGCAATCCATCACCCCACCAAGAGATGGCCTCTTCCACCTCCTCCAACTGTGTAGATTCAGTCTTGAATGCCCTAGAAAATCTGGATGGCCTTTGGGATTTAAATGTTTATCAATCTGAGCAACTGAAGCTGGGGTATAGACTCATGAGGACATTTCTTCGCTGCGCCAGAATATGGAGCACTTCTGACAACAAAGATTATGTAAGCTATCTTGAATCTTTCATGTCTAAACTCGAAACTGGTATCCATAAACTTGCACTCAAACTTCAAATAGAGCAGAAAAGGGACAGAGTATTCAATAAACGGCGGTTTATTTTGACTAGTAGCGTTCAAAGTAGTATAAAAAGTTTTAAGCAAAGAATCAGGCAGTTTTACTTCATTTTCTTGAATAGTTTGTTGCAAACTAGTGATTGTCTGACGGCGCATGAGTTGATGGAACTCATCGACTCTGTTCTAGAGAATCTGGTGGATGTTCTCCTCTGCATACTTAGATATGATGATCAAGATCTGCTGGAACTATTGACAGGTGTCGAACCTGTGCAATAATAATAAATAAAACCTAACTACCACCAAAAGTAGCCAAAAATCAATTTTAGGTACTGGAGTAGGGACTCTAAGTGTGCAATGGGTTACTTGATTCACCATGTTCCCGAAGAGTTTGCTTAATCCGATATACCCGAATTAATTATCTGACTAAATTCACTAATTAGCAGACAATGGCAAGCAGGGTCGTCTCCTCAGGGACTGGTGAGAAATTTATTTCCTTTCAAGTCAAAACAAATAGGGGGTTTTAGAATTAAAAGCTAACTAAATAATTTAACTGCAGAAAATAATTAATTAAAAGAAATAATTAAGAGAGCTCCAGCCAAGAGTACACTTCAGAAATGGTTCATGCACTGATCATCGATTCATAGATAATTTCAACATTTATTAATAGATTAGTTATAGTTGTCATGCACGCGATAAACAACCAACCCTTCCTTAATTTATCGATAGCTAAGGTACGACCGTTAGCTATTTCTCTAACCTAAAAACAACCCTAGGTATGACCGTAGGATTTAATTTCTAGCATGTATTAATAATTAGAAATGCCCAATCCTAACCAACAAACACGCTACGATGGTTTGTTTAAGCTAGATCGTATGTTCCCCTGACATAAACCCAATTATGCCAGTTGCTACTAGGACAGAGATAACGAACAATTACGGATTCAATTACCCCTATTTAGCAAAATAGCCTATATGAATAATTAATTATTGCGCATTAACCAATCATACACAAGGCTATAGCAATTAAAAGCAGGGAACATATAAATATCAATAAATGAAGAAAATAATTAAAAAAACGGTTTAGATCTCACAGTAATTGTTGAACCAATTCGTCAATTGCTCCCTTGACTAGGATTAGAGAATTAGCCCTCCATTAATGGAGGACAAACCGCGCGTGAAGAATTGGGAAAAGTCACCGAATCGGACTTCTCAATTTTGGTCAGCAATAGGAGAAACGAAC